ACGATGAGATAGACAACAGAACCTGTGTTAATAGTATGGTAGTGATGGTATAATATACAGCCTCTTACCTTGGATATAGTTAGTGCTGGACTCCACTGATCCTTGAGGATATCGAGACAGATGGAACCATTGGCACTAATATTGCAGTGATATATCTTAGTGGTGAAGTGACACTTCGGGGGCTTGAAGGGATAATCACTGGGGAAGTTTATGTTAAGGAAGAAGACACCGCCTTCGTAAGGAGAATCTTTAGGGCCCATGATGGTTGCTTGCCAATGGAACATATCATCACCTAAGGGCACGAGATGATGGATCCTGCATGAACCAGCTGTTACAGCGAGCACTACCTATGGGGCCAGCGGAACAATTTGCCGGAGGATCACGACTGAGATCCTGGAGTTCTTTGTTGATACGTCGCAGAGCCATTTGTACAGTAGAAAGAGACGAATACGAGAAGGAATGAGAATATCTACCATAGAAATCTGGTTATTCCATGAATAGCAGACACGTCCGTCACATCATGCATTATGGAATGGACGCTCTGAAGAGATACAAGGGTAACCAGGAAGCGAGTTTCTTCTTACGATGCGTGATTCATCGTGACCTAAGCACCATTGGCCGAATCAAGTTCCCGCTGACCTACCATTAAAACAATTCGCCACATACGAGCGATGATCGGCAACGAGAAATACTACAAAAGCTGAGAATTTGGTGACGGATTCCATTCCCTCCCAGTTGTAATGAACACAATGGCAAAAGGCAAGAAGTCATTTAACTGATAATATCAGTGTAACAAGTATGATAGTGGTAGTGGCAACACGAATAGTCGGTGACCAGCATCAACTCGACCCCGCGATAATCATCAACAGCGACTTCTTTACATGGCGTACTTTTGTGTCCATTCTCTACCAATTTCGTCATGCTTCGCTCGGTTGGTCTTGTACATATGAGCAATCTCGGGAACAAACGGATCATCAGGGTTGGGATCGGTGAGTAACGATGAGATAGACAACAGAACCTGTGTTGATAGTATGGTAGTGATGTTATAATATACAGCCTCTTACCTTGGATATAGTTAGTGCTGGACTCCACTGATCCTTGAGGATATCGAGACAGATGGAACCATTGGCACTAATATTGCAGTGATATATCTTAGTGGTGAAGTGGCACTTCGGGGGCTTGAAGGGATAATCACTGGGGAAGTTTATGTTAAGGAAGAAGACACCGCCTTCATAAGGAGAATCTTTAGGGCCCATGATGGTTGCTTGCCAATGAAACATATCATCACCTGCAGACATCACATACGAAGGTGCCACTAGTGGACGGAGGACGAACCTATGGGGCCAGCAGAGCAGTTTGCTGGAGGGTCACGACTGAGCTCCTCGAGCTCTTTGTTGATGCGTCTTAAAGCCATACTAACTAATAACGATAAAACTACTGAGTATCGAAGTAACCTACAAGAGGCTCTAACCTAGAGCCGAGTAATGCAACGAACTAACTGAAGTTTCTCGTCGATTGTCAACAAACACTTACAATGCCACCCGTAGTGAACGGTGAAGCGTAGATTATTTACCTCAACA